TTACACGGTGTGTTTTCTGTACCGCGCCGTGACAGAATAATCCGCCAAGCATGGGTCCGCCAGGGAGACCGGTGCATTGAGGATTACGCCAGGGACTTAGTGGGAGTGGCTCGCCAGTCGGCGACGGAGGCTGGTACGCAGCGTGCAGGAACCTCCGCTGATGTCGGTGCGAGCGGTGTGGTCTGCTCGCAGAGTCCCCGAGGCAGCGGTGTCCGCACACAGTTCCCCCGAGGCGGCGGTGCCCGCTCGCAGTTTCCCCGGGGCAGCGGTGTCCGCTCACAAGGCTCCGGAAGCGGCGGTGCCCACTCGCAGTTCCCCCGTGGCGGTGGCTCCACACACACCGCTGTGGTGGCCGCTGGTTCTGCCCTGGGTGCCCATTCGTGGGACTTCGTGTTTGAATTCATAGATGTTTTATTAATCAAATGTGGATGTCAGTGTTATTTACTTGGCAGATAAAAATGCACACGCATGTCTAAATCACATTTATATGAATCAGTGTGGATGGTGTTCAGGCTGAATAGTAGCTGTGATCAAGGATGAACAAGAGAAAAGCAGCCCACATAACTGTCACACGTCCACTGTTTAAATAGACTTCCTGAATCCCATAAGAAGCTACAGACGACCATCTAGCCAGGTATTAGGCCTACCTTAAAAACATAAGCATATATCATAAGTGTTATGTGTATATCATAAGTATTTTCTTATGCACTTTTGCATGATATATTTTGGTTTACTATGTTTCAAATGTTATCTATTTGAAACTTAGAACTGCTTTAAATTTCATGTTCAAACTTAAAATTTCAAACTTTTTTTTAAACTTCAAACTTTCTGGCTAGATATTCCCAAGTCAATTTATCAAGTCAGCAAGTCAAGTTTGTCTTTTTAATCTAGTTTTAATAATATTGCTTGTCTCTACTTTTGTCTCTTATTATTATTATTTAAAGTACTATTGAAGATGCTTAAATATTCTATTTCTTTTGTGCTTTCATTCATGATTGCTGATATTTAAGAACCACATTAATTTGCTTTAAAATGTATGTACTTTTCATAAATAAGATGTTAAAATGCTGTGTGAAAATTCTAGAGACAATAAATCAAGGAATATTTCATATTGTATCTAACATCATATGAAATATATTTACAGCCAATGTGTTCCACACAACTCTTTCTGCTTCTGGGTAAGAAGAACTAGACACTGACACAAGACACTGTGCATTCTGTCTGACGACCAATAATATCTTCTAAATAAGAGCTCATAGAAAAATTAGGCTGCATCTTTGACTCTATTGCATGCATAGGTTTTACAATTCCCACTAGTACAGACAAAATCAGACTGATGAATGGCATTAACTCTTGTTCTGGATGAGTCAAATTTCTTTATAATGGAATATGGGGAACAGTGTGTGATGATGGCTGGGATCTAACAGACGCTGCAGTGGTGTGTAGAGAGATGGGCTGTGGGAATGTGATTTAGGCAAAGAGTGCTGTTTATTTTATCCAGGGATCAGGACCAATATGGATGGATGATGTACAATGTGCTGGGAGTGAATACACACTGAATAACTGTTCATCAAATGGATGGGGAATACACAACTGTAACCATCAACACGATGCTGGAGTCATCTGTAAAGGTAAGTCAAAAGATCTGTCTTCCTAAGCAACAATTTTATCATTTAAAACATGCATAAACTCCCTTAATGCATCTATAGTATAAAGGAACTTAATTTGTTAAATCAATTTGCATTAGAAAACACTGCATAAAAAACATCCATGTGAATTCATAATTAATAGAAACAATTACTGCTGCTGGATCTATAATGTAATGTAAAACAAAACAGATTACAGCTTAGAAAAGTTCCCTATATACACTGTGTTTTAGGTGCACAAAAAGCACACTGGAACAGTATCAGCATTTACATCTTTAAATATATCCATCTCTTTTTTTCAGAAACCAGGAAAAAAAAAAACAATCATAAAGCTTGGATTTAATGTTGATCCTAAATAATGAGCCTGACCTAAATAATAAAAGAAAAAAGATTTTGGAAAAGGTGATCTCATGATAAAAGGTCACAGAAGAACAACTGATCTCACACTGTAGCTGTGACACAACTGTTATTTAGTATTTACTATATTTTTGCTTACGATTTTTAAAGATAAGGGAGAAATTGAAAGATTTGGCGACTTTTAACCTACAATGGAAGACACAAGCTATTAGAGAAGTGTTTCATAAAATTAGACAAAATAATAAAATTCCTCTAGACTGCGAGAAATAAATATAAACCTTTTGTTAACCGCTATATAATTGGATTAATGTGTGATAGTGTATGCACTGATACACAAATCATAACTTCTATCATAATTCTATTACATGTTACAAGTAAATCTGACTCTGCCATTAATTGTATAAAGTGTGATGAAATACTATGAAATAAGAATGTGTCTTGATTTTGTCTAATGTTTGTATTGACAGCTCTGCTCTAGCTTTATATTTCTTTTGAATCGCGATTTGGCATTTTGAATTGAGCACTGCTAACACTGTCAGCTCTTTTCGATAATGTTTGTGTATTTATTATTTGTTAAAATTAGTAAAAGTAAATCTAATAAAACATAGGGTTCACTTGAATTATGGAGTAGATATTTATTTAATTTAGTGCTCACTTTATAATGCATCTTCAATACACTGCATAAATTATCGTTTATAGATGTTTATGTCACGTTGCTACTGTGGAGGAGCACGGAGCGAGGAACGAGGAGACCAGGAGTACAATCCATAATTTAGTGCTCACTTTATAATGCATCTTCAATACACTGCATAAATTATCGTTTACAGTTATTCTCGTGCGTGCGCTACTGTGGAGGAGCACGGAGCGAGGAACGAGGAGACCAGGAGTACAATCCAAACACAGACTTTAATAACATCAAGGGAACCAGGAAATCACACGTAGCGGGAAGGAAGACATTCACAGACATCAACAATATCGGACACTGAGCTAAGAACAGGGAACACTATTGTTACGACCCTCCTTTGATTGTTAAGCGTCTAGGGACTAAGAAGAGGAACATTGGACCAGTTCAGACCAATACCAGCCTCACACTCGAGTGTGTCTAACAACAAAATCAAACTACATGTGCACCATGTAAGTCACGTGACATAACTTACCTACCCCTTTACCTCCGGTCAGTTTTAACACATTTTGGAAAAAGCTTTATAAGGCTTTCAAAATGTTTATTTGAAAAAATATGTGGGAAGTGTGTCAAGATAGCAGGTTGACGATTTAAGGTGCTGTACTATTTCTTCCAAAATTTTGCTATCAATTTCTTCAAAAGCAGACATAGTATCTTCTTTTTGATATTGTGGTCGAATCTGTCTAACCTCTGCATAACTTGGGGATGTGCTAATCGCCTTCCTGATATTATTGATCTTCTCAGAAAAGAAGGAAGCAAACTCATTGCATTTGCTGTTGGAGAGCATTTCACTGGCAATCTGACTTGGGGGGTTTGTCGGTCCTTGCAGATAAGGACAGGAACGGGAAGGACCAAATAAGGGCATGGAAACACATGGGGAGCAAAACACACACAAAACACGGAACAAAGTCTGACAGTTTATAGGTATTTACAGGAGTGACAAATGCAGTTTTACAGCCAAATTAACTTCCAAAAAATTCAGGTAGTGACAACATTTACATTTATTTTGGTGTAGTGGTGCTCATTTAAATTGTGTCTAAAATAAATAAATAAACAAATACAAAAAATAAAATAAATAATTTTAAGATGAATGTGCAACATGAACTTGTTTGTCCTGTTTGCTGTGTTTACATATAGTTTTATTTACATATCAAAGCTTTAGGCAAACCATTTTCTGAATAAATACTCAAGCAGCAGGAAGTTGTACAATGATCCCTGCTTTCTCTACTTCATTGTCTGACAAAATAAAACTATGACACCTGACAGATTTAAAAAACGGCAGTTAATGGAGACATGCAATAAAAGATGCAAAACATCAACAAAAGATGCACATGGAGGATTTAATTGCTGCTGATTGGATCATTAGTGCTCTGATAAAATGTTTACAGAAATTACTTTTCAACAAAACCGTTTTTTATTTCTCTTATTGTGGAAGAAGAGGAAAAAGGTTTTTGTTTACTTCACCTAGTGCTAGCGTAACGGAGGCCAGCGGGTAGGTGCTGTGCAGGTTAACCTCACTCCCCTGATCTCAAGAGGCACACTACACTGACATTATGGGCTGCAGTCTTCATCCTCCTTGTTAGTGCGTCCACCTTCCATGCCAACGACCCAGTGCGCCCACCTCCCAAGTCCTGCTTGGAGCGGGTGTGAGTAGGACCCCGGGGGGTTACACTAGTATGACAATGACTTTCGAAAGTAACAAGCTTCCACAAACAAAGGCTCCTTGTTTCATCTCATGTTTTCCTGTTAAACAAATTAGGCACACATCCAATCTTTCATGCAGCAAACCACACGTGAATTCCAAAGACATTTTGTTTAACAAATATGATATCTATTTTAAATAAAACTGTAACATATATGGCATGAAGATAAAGCAGTCAGAAAAACACAAGTACATGTCACACACAGCACTTTTCAAACAGACAGACGAAGAAGAGAACCATTTAGCAGGTATTAACATATAAATCATATTTATATTGTTATAATATAATATATATTTGATTACAATATGACTAAACACAATTAGAAAAACTCACTTATACAATTAGACAATTATCTTACAGTAGATGTTTAGAATTTTTACAGTTACTTGTCTACACTGTAAAAAATGCTTTGAAACCTTATAGGCTGAATACAGTAGATTCATATTATTATTAATTCAGAAAGTAGTGTAGAACATAAGACAAAGCAACGAATGTTTTGTGTGAAGATTCAACATGAATAATATATCATATCTAATATATTTCTAGCCGCTATGCTGTGGTTCATGCAACTCTTTCTGCTTCTGGGTAAGAGCATTATGCTATACACTGAAACAAATCTTGGTCACAAATTTTGTTATATTTTCAGCACAATAAAAGCAATAAATGTCTCAGAACTATAAGTAAAATTAAATATTAATAATCTGCATCTTTGACTCTATTGCATGCATAGGTTTTACAATTCCCACTAGTACAGACAAAATCAGACTGATGTATGGCATTAACTCTTGTTCTGGACGAGTGGAGGTTCTTTATAATGGAATATGGGGAACAGTGTGTGATGATGGCTGGGATCTAACAGACGCTGCAGTGGTGTGTAGAGAGATGGGCTGTGGGGATGTGATAGAGGCAAAGAGTGCTGCTTATTTCGGCCAGGGATCAGGACCAATATGGATGGATGATGTGAATTGTACTGGCACTGAGTCTTCACTGATGAACTGTAGGACACGTGGATGGGGAACACATTACTGCCAACATTCCCACGATTCTGGAGTCATTTGTAACTGTGAGTCAAAAATATTCATTTGTACATTCGTAAAAATTGGATATTTTCCTTTTAAGGAATGACCCAAGAGAGTTAAATAGAACAATATTGTAATTGTTTAATCTAACACGATGTGTTCTTGTTGAAATAAGCTAATAGTAAAATACACAAATATATGGGAGTAAAAACAACTTGTATTTTTATTATCTGTGTGAATAGTAACTGTCAGGTTGGTAAATGGTGACAACTCTTGTTCTGGACGAGTGGAGGTTCTTTATAATGAAACGTGGGGAACAGTGTGTGATGATGGCTGGGATCTAACAGACGCTGCAGTGGTGTGTAGAGAGATGGGCTGTGGGAGTGCCATAGGTGCAAGTCGTGCTTATTTTGACCAAGTACCAGGACAAATGTGGATGAATACTGTACAATGTACTGGGATAGAATCTACTTTGAAGAGCTGCAGATCATATGGAATTGCCTCCTGTAGTAGTAATAAAGCTGCTGGAGTCATCTGTCAGCGTGAGTCATAACACTTTAAACAATCATTTTAATATGATTTTGTTCATTCAGCCCATTTTTAAAGACATAAAACCATTTTGTTTCTTTTGCCGTGTGCTTCAGCTGCTGTCACATTGGTCAATGGCACTCATTCATGTTCTGGAAGAGTGGAGGTTCGCCACAATGGAATATGGGGAACAGTGTGTGATGATGGCTGGGATGCATCAGATGCTGCAGTGGTGTGTAGAGAGATAGGATGTGGGAATGCGACAGAGGTAAAGAGTGCTGCTTATTTTGGACAAGGATCAGGACCAGTATGGATGAATAATGTGAGTTGTAATGGAACAGAGTCTACACTGAAGAACTGTGTATTAAGCGGAAGAGTTCGACAAAACTGCAGCCATGAAAAAGATGCTGGTGTTATCTGTGGACGTAAGTGAATAACACTGCATTATAAAGGTCTACTGCCTGACATAATACTTCAATACTGCTGCATTTCTTAACATAATTGTTCATGTCAGTAATATGCAAACAATGAATAAAAGCAAATTTATGTCTGTCTCTACAAAAGGGGTTTTCGCAGCAATGTCATAGAAGACCAATTTTTCATTTCTCAAAGAACCATTCCTAAACAGTTTCTAAAAGATTTTTCCTAAAATTTCCAAAAGACCATTTTTAATTTTTTTTAGTGCAAAGAGCATTTTAATAATCTAAAGAACCTTTAGTGGAATGAAAAGTTTCCATGGATGGTAAAGATACTGCATGGAACCACGGATGCCAAATAAAGAACCTTCATTTTTAAGAGTTTAGACTGGTGTCATCAACCTTTCTGACCTGTTCATTTATTGTTTATTAGCCAAACTTCGACTGCAGAATGGTTCCAGCTCTTGCTCTGGAAGAGTGGAGGTTCTTCATAATGGAATATGGGGAACAGTGTGTGATGATGGCTGGGATCTAACAGACGCTGCAGTGGTGTGTAGAGAGATGGGATGTGGGGATGCTATAGAGGCAAGAAAAGGTGCTTTTTTTGGGAATGGCTCAGGACCAATATGGATGAATAATGTAAATTGTTATGGGAATGAGCAAACTCTAAAGAGATGTAGATCTCCTGGATGGGACGTACAGAACTGCAATCATTATAAAGATGCTGGAGTCATCTGCCAATGTGAGTCAAATACATACATAAAAATGAGGCTGATTACACTGCCATCCAGAACATTACTAGTCCTTGTTTATACACTGGACTAAAGTAACTTTCATCATTACTAATATTATAGTAAAATGACCGAAATTTTGTTTAATGTCTATTTCAGACAGCTATACTTATATCAATGATTCAAAAAGCTGGATTGATGCACTAGGATACTGCAAAACTCACCACCAGACACTGGCGCACATTTTAAATGCCATGGCACACGAGTACATCACACAGATGCTGCAGGATAAAGCAATCACTGATGGAGTGTGGATCGGGCTTGAACGGAGTATGCTCTTCGCTTGTTCGCCCTGGCTGTGGACCAGTGGGCCGTATGTGGGGTATGCATCATGGCATCAAAAGTTTCCAAAGCACCCAGTGAGCATGTTTTGTGGAAAACTTCTTAAGGAAGAACAGGACCGGTTTGGATGGATGGATGCTTGCTGCCATGAGCGCCTGCCTTTCATCTGTCAGGTCAGTTTCTCGTCCTGGTTTAATGAAATCAGCTTTTTGATTGCATGCACTCTTGTGTTTTTTGAATGCTCAGTGTTCAATAGAGTCTGCAAGTGTCTAAAGCCTAAAATAATTTTCTTTTGTCATGTCTTATCAGGGATGAAACACTAGATGGAGCTGTTTCCTAATTTGAGTCGGTTGCTGGTAATCACAGAACAGTCATGAGCTACGATAAACATTTTTTGCTTTGTTTCTTAACAAGTTATAGTAATATGTAGCCCTGTTTGTAGGTACGAACTTGTAAAAGATACTATTACAAAATTATTTCTTATTTCTTATATATATATATATATATATATAT